CAGTGGTTCTTATCCCTTATGGCAGGGGAAAGCTTTCAGAATCTTTAAAAGTAAGTTTTGAATTCTTAAACAGCTGCTTAAAACCTCAATAGTCGGGTTTAGCATCGAAGCTTTTTGATGCTACTAAAAGCAGCTGCACTCTGATATATTTATAACTCTGGATATCTCTAAAGGAGTTATTTGTTGGAGAGTCCTGCAATGCCACAAAGTAATTTAACTTTATCAACTCCTATTACATGTGAGTTATGTCTGGCTTGAAGGGAACTGCAGCACAAGAGCAGAACTGATACGGAGACCAAAAATTTCAGTCTACCCCTACCCCAAAATAAAAAAAAAAAGCAAGATCTCAGCCCAGGCTGGAGGAGGTTTTTTGTTTTGTCTTCCCTTCCCAGCCCTCAGTTTCCCTGAAGCCCCTCTCAGGCACCTTGAACAGGTGCCAGCAAGGCTGTTTTCTGTCACCTTTGCATCTTTCCCTGCTGACAAAGCAGCTGCACGTGAAGGTCATTCAGCTGCAGCAACCCAGAGTATCAATTTATACCAACTGCTCCCTCCCCCATAAGCCATCGACTGCCAGGTGTCAGGGGGGGCCACAGGCCAGGACACTTCCCCTGCTCTCTTCTCCACTCTGGTTGCCAGAAGGATGTGACCCTGCAACCACCACTGCAAGTGGGACGTGTCCACAGGAGCTTTTATTAGCCTGGAGAGTCCCTCTTGGGATTTGCTGCACTGAGACTTCCTACAGAGAACAGCATTGACAGATTTCTGCCTCTGGATTTGCACTGGTAACAGCCAGCACTGGCTTGGGCAGGGCTGTGCACAGAGGTCACACCATCACCATCATCATCATCATCATCACTAAATGCCCACAGCCACAAACTCCCATGGTCAACCTCTAAAACAAAAACCTCCGAGCTCCGAACATAAATCCAAATGCAAAATAATTATAAGGGCTGAATGTTGCAAAATAAAAGGAAGTCCCAATACTAAAGTCAGGAGTAAAACCCTGTATTGGTCCAAAGCCACCGGATCATCAGCAAAAGACAAACTTCATCCCTGGAGGTGTCCAAGGCCAGGTTGGACAGGGCTGGGAGCAACCTGGGCTGGTGGAAGGTGTCCCTGCCCATGGCAGGGGGTAGAATAGGATAAGCTTTAAGGTCCCTTCCAACTCAAGCCAGTCTGGGATCTCTGATTATCCTATGAATCAACCTCTTTGATCACTTGGAGAGAGAACACCTCTCCTGTACCATCACCTGAGTGTATCAAACCCAGCCTGGAGACAGGACACGCTTGTCCTTGTTGGTCCGCAATTTTCCCTGGGATAAACATGGTTTTTCCTTGCAGAATAGTGGTTTATTCCATTTCCACGTGGG